ACTAGGAGGCGTAAGATTAAAAGAGCAACAGCCTTGAGTAAAAGTGACGGCACGAGGATTAAAGTCCTTAGACATATTTTTAGGGACATCTAAGTTATCTTATTAGAAAAAAAAAAAGAAAAAAGCATATTAAATAACTTTTATATATATATATATATATATATATATATATATATAATTATATGAATTATAATATATAAAATTTATAATATTAATAAAATAATACTTACTATTAAAAGACAACTTACGGTTTTTTCTTCCAGAGGTACCAAAATCCGTCTCGGAATTGATAATATTAGCTATATCTCGCAATACATTAGTGCGGGGCGCCGGTGTAGAAGGAGGCGAAGGTAAAGACAATCGCTAAAGACCAGAATAATAGGTATGACGCGATAAGAATGAATTATATGCGTTGTAAAAACCGTGCAGATAAAGAATTACATAGTTTCCGACGTGACTAAACGGTTCAATGAAAGATACCTTTTGATCAACAGAGAAATCAAGTAACGAAGTTTTATTGGTCAAATCCGCAGTCAATGACTTGATATCCTCCATGATTTTTAAAGATTTCTAAAGATTTCTAAAGATTTTTAAAGATTTCTAAAGATTTTCAAGTGTATCTAATAAAAAGTAAATAAAATAATTGGTTAAATAAATTTTGATTTATCTTTGAAAACCAAGAATTTATCACATAGAAAAATTCAAATTGAAAAAAGATACCTTAACAAAAGAAGTTGATACTCTTTAAAAGTAAAATTTTTTTAAATAAATTATAAAGAAAAGATAGTAAAAAACGCGAATCAAAGTTAATAAAATTGATATGAAAGCGGGATAGGAAAGAGTAAAAAAATTAAAACACACCGACAAGATACTTTTTATTGATTAAATATGAAAAGTACTAAAAAGTGAAAGAAGATAGATGATAAACTTTTACGTGAATGTCGTGCAAGAAAGGAAATATTAATAAAATCGACGACGAGAGAAAATGCACAACAATTAGTAACTACTGTTGGAATGGATAGAAGTTGAAGAAAGCAGAAGATGGCATTTATATGTATTTTCGCCAATAGTTGCAGATCGGTAGGGTTCACCGGATTAATTAGGGTCCATATTACGAGTATATTACGGAATCAAGTTATTGTATAATAAACCCCGCCATTCATAGTGACATCAACTATTTTATTTATTTATATAATATAGTAATTTTTTTTTATATTGATTTATTATAAAATCAGGTATAGACAGTAAAAGTCTAAAAAAACCTTTTAATTAATCAGTTGGGTAATCAATTATCAATCAATTGATAGTTGCATATTATTTTTTGTTTTGAAATTTTTTTTTTATCCATTCATATCTAACAACGATACTTAAGCTTCGAAGCGATTCAATTGAATCTATTTGACACGAGAATACAATAGATTACGAGTGATATCATAATCATAATAACAAAAAATCATAAGTTGAATCGATATCATTTTCTTTGAAAACGTAATCTAAAAAAGGTACATCTATCATTTTATCATTTAAACAATCAAAATCTACACGTGAATTAAACCTTTCTCGCGTAGTAAACTTTTAGTTTCATACTCGAGAAAGCTTACTAACCGGAGTGTATACTCCGGATTTCGATTATCCAGAAAAAAATTTTTTGTCATGTCGTACAAAAATTATCGTGACCAATTAGAATCAAAGATATACTGCAGACAATGCAGCTTTTTTACTTTTTTTGTGTATCGATTTCTCAATTTTCTTAGACAGTAAATATATGTCTAAGGACTTTAATCCTCGTGCCGTCACTTTTACTCAAGGCTGTTGCTCTTTTAATCTTACGCCTCCTAGT